AACATAGAATATCCTTAACAAACTTATATGCTTAACATATTTATATTATATGCTTAACAAACATAGGAAATATCAGATACTAACACAGAAAAGAATATCCTTAACAAACTTATATGCTTAACATATTTATATTATATGCTTAACATATTTATATTATATGCTTAACAAACATAGGAAATATCAGATACTAACACAGAAAAGAATAACATAGAAGAACAAAGAAAAAGAACACAGAAAAGAATAACATAGAAGAACGAAGCAAAGAAAAAAAAAGAACACAGAAAAGAATAAATAAAGAAATTAGTTATTTATTTAGAAATGATGAAGTATTGAAGTTTATATCATTAATTATTTTCAAATTAACAAGAAGAAGATGTTTCTTTTGTTCTTTAGATCAGAAGAATTGATTTTAATATAATCAATAACATTAACATAGAAGATATAATAAATAACATAGAAAATATAATCAATAACATTAACATAGAAGATATAATAAATAACATAGAAAATATAATCAATAACATTAACATAGAAGATATAATAAATAACATAGAAAATATAATCAATAACATTAACATAGAAGATATAATAAATAACATAGAAAATATAATCAATAACATTAACATAGAAGATATAATAAATAACATAGAAAAACAAAACAAAGTATATCAAAGAAAAACAAATCGAACACTCATAGAGGTATTATGATTTATAGCTTAGTTTGGGGAAATTATCTCGTTGGTTTCTGCGTTAAAATACTGAATTCAGCCGTTGTGATCGGATTCTATTATGGATTTCTGACTACATTCTCCATAGGACCGTCTTATCTCTTCCTTCTTCGAGGGCAAATCTTAGGAAAGGGATCTGAAACGAAAATATCAGCAACAACCGGGTTTATTACGGGACAGCTCATGATGTTTATATCGATCTATTATGCGCCTTTGCATTTGGCATTGAGTAGACCTCATACAATAACAGTCTTAACTCTACCGTATCTTTTCTTTAATTTTGTCCACAAAAAGACAAACACTACTATTTGGGTTCGGGATCCAAACTGGATTCTGAATACAAGAATCCAAATTCAATACGTCATTTTAGGATTGTTAAAGTATTCTTTAACAATCTTTTTTTTCAGTTATTAAACCCCTTTCTTTTGCCAAGTTCAATCTTAATAAGATTAATGAACATTTATCTGTTTCGATCCAACAATAAATTGTTATTCTTAACAAGTAGTTTTGTTGGGTGGTTAATAGGTCACATCTTTTTAATGAAATGTATTGGATTGGTATTAGTCTGGTTACAGCACAAAAAGTCGATCAAATATAAGATAACTATGAAATTTGATAAATACATTCTCCTACAATTGCGAAATTATGTGGGGCAAATATTTGTTGTTTTTTCATTTGTTAGCTTTGCACACTATTTAGGCAGAACACCGCTCCCATATTATTATATTGAGGAAATGATGCGATACGATGACAGGGACCTGGAGGAAGTCAAAGCTGCAATAGATTGGGAAAAGGAAGAAACTAACGAAGAAGAAGAAGATATTACTGTTTATCTTTCTGATAAAAAAGAGAATACTTTCAACAAAAAACTCGCCCCGTTGGAAAAATCTCTTGTAACTACTCTTTTCGATTATCGAAAATGGAATAGGCCTTTGCGATATATAAAAAATGATCACTTTGAAAGGGTTGTAAGAGATGAAAATTCACAATTTTTTTTTCAGGTATGTCAAAGTGATGGAAAAAAACGAATATCTTTCACGTATCCACCTCATTTATCTACTTTTCTGAAAATCATGGAAAAAAAAATGGATCTCTTCAGAAGAGATAAAACCTCCTATAATGATAATGAATTGTCTAATTATTGGAGCTCTGTTAATAAAGAAAAAGGAAATAAACTAATCAATGAATTTTTTCAAAGGGCAAAAATGATAGATAATAAATCTATTAAATTTAGTCCTGTGGATGTATTTGAAAATCGAATTAGATTGTCTGATGATAATAGGAAAACAAAATACTTAACTAAAATATATGATCCTTTCTTGAATGGACGCGTTCGTGGAGAAATCCAAAAAGGCTTTTCACCCTTCATTCCAAATGAAACTGACACAACAAACTACATTTTGATAAATAAGATTCATGGTCTCCTTCTTTCTATTAATAGTAATGATCCAGAATTTGAACAGAAAATAGATCAATTTGATAGAAAATTATTATTAAATGAAATTGGTTTTTTTTTTAACTTAATCAGTAAATTTTCGGAAAAATCAGTATCAAGTTTGAATTTTGACGGACTTTATTTATTTCCAGAACATGAACAAGTAAAAATATATTCCGAAGAAAAAAAAACAAAAAGAAAATTATTATTGGACGCAATTCGAACTGATCCTACTAATAATACAATTTTTAATAGAAAACTATGTAGTGAAATAAACGAAATAAGTAAAGAAGTTCCTCGATGGTCATACGACTTAGTCGACGAATTGGCGGTATTGATGGACGCGAGTCCAAAGGAGTCTCAGATTCGTTCCCCAAAAGCTGACCGTATAGTTCTTTTTAATAGTAAAACAGATTCTAATGACAATCAGAATAGTGCTGAACCGGACAGAAATACTGAATTTGCTGTAGTTCATTATTCACGCGAACCAGATTATTGCCGAGACCTAATCAGAGGATCTATGCGCCCTCAAAGGCGTAAAACAGTAACTTATAAACTCTTTCAAGGAACTGCACACTCCCCTCTTTTTTTGGAGATAATGGGCGACTACGCGTTCTTGTTTGGTGATCTTGTCTATGATATCTCCCAATATTTGAAAGAATATTTCAGGAAACCGGGTACTGATAATTCGGAATTTTTGGCGTTTGAGAAAACGATAGAACAGAAAGAGATAGAGGAAAACAAAGACGAGTCTGAAATAAGACTTAGACAAATCGAAGAAGCCTGGGAGAGCATTCTCTATGGTCTAATAATCAGAAGTTTTGTATTACTATTCCAATCAATATTTAGAAAATATATTCTATTACCTTCATTGATAATCACAAAAAATATCATTCGTATACTATTATTTCAAAATCCTGAATGGTCAGAAGATTTGAGGGATTGGAGAAAAGAAGTCCATATTTACTGCACCTATCAGGGCGTTCCAGTATCTCACACCGCGTTGCCAACAAACTGGTTCTGGGAGGGTATTCAGATAAGGATCTTATTCCCTTTTGTTCTGAAACCGTGGCACAATAAGGTACGATCTACTGAAAAAAAAAAAAAATCTACTGAAAAAAAAAAAGATCCACTGAAAGAAAAAAACTTATGGTTTTTAACAGGTTATGGAACACAAGTCGAATCGTACCTTGATGATCATGTCCCAAACCCTTTTTTATTTTTGGGTCCCATTTTAAAAAAAATAAAAAAACAATTGAAAAAAGATTTGAAAAATCGTTTTTTTCTAGTTCTAAAAGTTTTTAATGAAAGAAAAAAGGGGTCTCGAATCGTGTTAGAAGAAATCGAAAATAGGTTCAAAAAAAGAGATGAATTGAGTGAAAGCAAAAAAAATTCAACAATCAGTAAGAGTAATCCAATGATTGAGGAATCGCCCGTTCTAATTCAATCTATGAATTGGACAAATTTCACAGAAAAAAGGATAAAAGATCTTAATGTTAAAACAAAGACAATCTTAAAACAACTAGAAAAAATGACAGAAGAAAAAAAAGAGGGGGTTATAACTTTAGAGATTAATTTGAATTCTACCAAAACTACTTATGATGCTAAAAGATTAGAATTACTAAAAAATAGTTTGAAAATATTAAAAAGAAGAACCGTTCGATTAATCCGTAAATCCTATTTTTTTTTTCAAATTTTAATGGGAAGGATATACATAGAGATCGTTTTCTCTATCACTCGTATTATTATGATGTCTGGACAACGTTTTCTTAATATTATTGAATTAACAGACAAAATTGTAAATGTATTTATTTCCATTTACACTAAAAAAAAAAATGAACAAAGAGTTCATAAAACAAATGAAAGTATAATTCCATTTATGTCGATTATAGACAAATCTTGGAATATTACAGATATGAATTCACAGAATTCTTGTGATGTATCTTCTTTGTCACAAGCCTATGTATTTTTTAAATTATCACAAGTTAGTAATGGATATAAATATAAGTTAAGATCTATTTTTGAATCTCATGGAAGATCTTTGTTTCTTAAGAATGAAATAAAAGATTATTTTTTTAGAATACAAGGAGGAAGATTAAATTCCAAATTAAGACATAAGAACCGTCCCGATTCTATAATGAATCAATGGATAAATTGGTTAAAGGTTCATTATCAATATGCTTTACCTCAGAGCGGATGGTCAAAATTAGTACCACAAAAGTGGAGGAAGAGAATCCATGAACATCGCGTGGCTCAAAAGAAAAATTTAGTTGAATATGATTCATCTGAAAAAAACCAATTCATTTTTTACAAAAAACAAAAAAAACAACAAGTAGATTTATTAGAAAAAAAAAAAAAAATAAAAAAACAATATGGATATGATCTTTTCTCCTATCAATATATAAATTATGCAGATAACAAAAAATCCTATATTTATGGATATAAATCACCATTGCAAGCAAACAAAAACCAAACGATTAATTACAACATACCTAAAAATAAAAAAGAATTATTTGATATAATGGGCGATAGCTTTATCCAAAATTATATAGCAGAAGATGGTATTATAGATATGGATATGGAAACAATGGAAAAAAATCTGAATAGAAAGTATCTAAATTGGATGGGAAAAAGAAAAAAGAATTCCAAAACGAATCAGAAATTATTGACTCCGAGATTTGGGTTCTTTTCAAAATTAAGTGCATATAAGAAGAATCCTTGGATCTTACCAATGAATTTCTTTTTTGTGCAGTTTTATGGAAACAAAAACATTACTGATGTAGCCAAGTTAAAGTTAGAAAAGAAAGAATACGGGAAGCAAGCAGATCTCAAATCATATCTCTCAAACTATTATAGGGACACTCGGTATAGTATAACTAGATACAGGAAGGATCTAAATGGCGAACAAAATTTCTTACTAGATAAATATTTTGGTTTTTATTTGCACTGTAAGACTCCCGTCCAAGAAACACTAATGGATAATATCAACTTATATTGTCTCCTGGTTAGATTGAAAAATCTAAAACAATTTTTCATAATGTCTATAAAAAAGGCAGACCTCGATTTTGAAATTACGGCGCGTCTGCAGATGAAGGACACTTGTTATACAGAATGTAGGGACACAGAGGAATTGAGGGACAACCTAATGTTTTTTATTGAACCTATTCGTATTTCTAGAAAAAACTATGAACAATTTTTTATATATCAAACCATAAGCATATCATTGAGGCACAAACGTAAAATTTTGAAAAGAAACTATGATTTACTTGTTCCTGAAAATCTTTTGTCCACTAGACGCCGTAGAGAATTGAGAATTCTAATTTGTTTGAACCCACAGAATAGAAATACTGTGCATAGAAACACAATAAATGACACTGAGAAAAAACGAAATAATTCTTCTGAAGTTTTGACTCAAAATGAAGATATTGATAGCGATACAAAAAAACTAATGACTTTAAAATTCTTTCTTTGGCCAAATTATCGATTCGAAGATTTAGCTTGTATGAACCGCTATTGGTTTGATACACATAATGGAAGCCGTTTCAGTATATTAAGAATACATATGTATCCTCGATTGAAAATCTAGATTTTTGTTCTATTTATCATTATCATAATATTTCAGATATCTATCTGATATCTGATATGTGAACATATATATATATATATAAATAAATATTTATTTATATATATATATATATGTTCACATATAATTGATAATTGCAATAAATAAAATAAACGCGCACACGCATTGTGGGATTGATACGACTTCAATGATGTCTCCATTAGATAGAAATAAATCAATAGAAAAATGAATAAATCAAAATTGTCTTTTTTTTTTTTATTTTTTAAATACAAGACAATAGAATTTTTTATTTTTTGAATACATAAATATAGTATTTATTCTCTATTTGAATTACATTCCTTAATAAGGAATTTGAAAAAAAAAAATTCAGAATTGTGAAAATTGTTAAATAAATTAAGGTAAAATTTGATATAAAAAATTCAAAATGAGTGTCATTACTATTACTGATCAATAAAAATATCTACCAAAAAGGAGGGGGAAAGAAAAGCTTTCATTTTATGATAAAAAATTCATTTATACCTGTTATTTCACAAAAAAAAAAAGAAGAAGAAAACCCGGGATCGGTTGAATTTCAAGTATTCAACTTCACTAATAAAATACAAAGACTTACTTCACATTTTAAATTACACCCAAAAGACGATTTATCTCAAGGAGGTTTACGTATAATTCTGGGAAAACGGAAACGACTATTGTCGTATTTGTCAAAGAAAAACAAAATACGTTATCAAAATTTAATAAATCGGTTGGGTATTCGGGATTCACAAATTAGGTAATTTAAAGAATCATTTTCAATTATTCGATTTATTAGATACTGAATTTTGATGAACTTTTTTTTTTGAACGATTCATGGAAGAATGAATCGAGGAAAAACCTATGAATATCCCAGCTACAAGAAAAGACCTCATGATAGTAAATATGGGGCCTCAACACCCATCGATGCATGGTGTTCTTCGACTTATTGTTACTCTGGATGGTGAAGATGTTATTGATTGTGAACCAATATTGGGTTATTTACACAGAGGTATGGAAAAAATAGCGGAAAACCGAACAATTATACAATATCTGCCTTATGTAACACGTTGGGATTATTTAGCGACTATGTTCACAGAAGCAATAACTGTAAACGGGCCGGAACAATTGGGAAATATTCAAGTACCTAAAAGAGCCAGCTATATACGAGTAATTATGTTGGAGTTAAGTCGTATAGCTTCTCATCTACTATGGTTGGGACCTTTTATGGCAGATATTGGTGCACAAACCCCTTTTTTCTATATTTTTAGAGAAAGAGAATTAATATATGATCTATTCGAAGCTGCGACAGGTATGAGAATGATGCATAATTTTTTTCGTATTGGGGGGGTAGCCGCTGATCTACCTTATGGTTGGATAGATAAATGTTTTGATTTCTGCAATTATTTTTTAACAAGGGTTATTGAATATCAAAAACTTATTACGCGAAATCCAATTTTTTTAGAACGGGTTGAAGGAGTAGGTTTTGTTGGTAGAGAGGAAGTTATAAATTGGGGGTTATCAGGACCGATGCTTCGGGCTTCCGGAATACAATGGGATCTACGTGAAGTTGATAATTATGAGTGTTACGAGGAATTGGATTGGGAAGTTCAATGGCAAAAAGAAGGAGATTCATTAGCTCGTTATTTAGTTCGAATTGGTGAAATGGTGGAATCCATAAAAATAATTCAACAGGCTTTGGAAGGAATTCCAGGGGGGCCTTATGAAAATTTTGAAATCCGCTGCTTTGATAGAGAAAAGGAGCCAGAATGGAATGATTTTGAATATCGATTCATTGGTAAAAAATCGTCTCCTACTTTTGAATTGCCGAAACAAGAACTTTATGTGAGAGTTGAGGCCCCCAAGGGAGAATTAGGAATTTTTCTAATAGGAGATCAGAATGGTTTTCCTTGGAGATGGAAAATTCGTCCACCTGGTTTTATCAATTTGCAAATTCTTCCTCAATTAGTTAAAAGAATGAAATTGGCTGATATTATGACAATACTAGGTAGCATAGATATCATTATGGGAGAAGTTGATCGTTGAAATGAGAATTGATACAACGGAAGTCCAAGATATAAACTCCTTTTCCGGATTGGAATCTTTCAAAGAGGTCTATGGAATTCTATGGATACTTGTACCAATTTTGATTCTTATCTTGGGAATCACAATAAGTGTACTAGCAATTGTATGGTTAGAAAGAGAAATATCAGCAGGGGTACAACAGCGTATTGGACCTGAATACGCTGGTCCTTTTGGAATTCTTCAAGCTCTAGCAGACGGAACAAAACTACTATTCAAAGAGAATCTTATTCCATCTAGGGGAGATATTCGTTTATTCAGTATTGGACCATCCATATCAATAATATCAATTCTAATAAGTTATTCAGTAATTCCCTTTGGCTATAACTTTGTTTTATCTGATTTCAAGATAGGTGTTTTTTTATGGATTGCTATTTCGAGTATTGCTCCCATTGGACTTCTTATGTCAGGATATGGCTCAAATAATAAATATTCCTTTTTGGGTGGTCTACGAGCTGCTGCTCAATCGATTAGTTATGAAATACCATTAACTCTATGTGTCTTATCAATATCTCTACGTGCGATTCGTTGAAACCAAAAAAGTTATTCGATGCTATTGCTATGCTCCTCTCTTTATAGTACTATATAGGAAAGGAGGCGAATCAATTGAATAGAAACCTTCATTATCTTTATTTTTCTCCGATTGAAGAACTAAATTAGATAGTTATATGAGTGAAATAAAACAGCTTATATTGAATAGAATTTCAGAATACTTTCTTACTTCTAGTTAATAGATAGTATGATGATTTTTAATGGCAGTAAAAATATTGAGTCTCATTTTCTATGTATAAGAATGAAATAAAATTATAAACAGAAGAGGCCATTTAACCCAAGATTGGATAATTTGTCATCCTGTTTTGAAGCGGGCTCTAAAGACCAACCTTATTGAGTTTTAGTTACCATTTTTATGAATTCTCATAGATATATTAAAATAAATAAGGGGGATTAATAAAAAAGAGTGGATGGTTAGAAACACCAAGATACACAAAGGATTAGTAACACAGATTTTGTAAATTATCCAAAAGACAATTTACGCAGAATATAAAAAGAATACTAATTGGGGCTTTAAGTTGGTAGAAAAAATAAAGCAGTACTCCCCACAACTCCGATCCAGAGTATGCTTCCATCCACTCATTAAATAAATGACTATCAGGAACGAAAAAATCCTTTAAAATTTTTTAAGTCCCTTTTTCATAGCACAAAAAAGAAGAATAGGAACGAAAAAAAAAACATAAGAAATCAAAAACGAAAGAGAAATCTATTTTTCGTTTTTGATTTCTTATATCCATATCCATATTCATGGAGATCAAATCATAATTAAGAAACGAATGTTTAATTCTTTTTCGTAATTCAAAATCATGAGGGCTATTGAGAATTATAAAAGAGTATTTTATTGAAGAATTCAGTTATTACTCAACAAATTTTTATTTTTGAGGGATGAGATCAATTCAGAAGTGCCTTACATTGGATCTTTTATTAAACTATATTTCTCTTTCTTATTTCGTTATTTCTAGAACAGACAGAATTGAATTGGTCTAATTCAGAACCGTTCGATCTATTTTCATCTTCTATATCTTAGGGATATAGCAAGAGAGAAATAATTGACCCGGTCCTTAGATTTACTTAAGGCTTTCCAGGAGCCGTATGAGGTGAAAATTTCATGTACGGTTCTGTAATAGAGATGGGAACAGTAATGTTATCACCGACTAGGATTATCTAACAGTTTAAGTACAGTTGATATAGTTGATGCGCAAGCAAAATATGGTTTTTGGGGTTGGAATTTGTGGCGTCAACCTATGGGTTTCATCGTTTTTCTAATTTCTTCGCTAGCAGAATGTGAAAGATTACCTTTTGATTTACCAGAAGCAGAAGAAGAATTAGTAGCTGGTTATCAAACAGAATACTCAGGTATTAGATTTGGTTTATTTTACGTTGCTTCCTATTTAAACCTTTTAATTTCTTCATTATTTGTAACAGTTCTTTACTTGGGCGGTTCAAATATCTCTATTCCGTACATATTTGTTTCTGAATTTTTTGAAATAAATAAAACATACGGAGTTTTTGGAACTACAATTGATCTCTTTATTACATTAGCTAAAAGCTATTTTTTCTTATTTGTTTCTATCATAACAAGATGGTCTTTGCCTAGGCTAAGAATGGATCAATTATTAAATCTTGGATGGAAATTTCTTTTACCTATTTCTCTCGGTAATCTATTATTAACAACTTCGTCTCAATTGTTTTCGCTGTAAAAGATGGATCTTCTATATTCATTACTTGTCTCAAATAAGAGAAAGAAATAAAACAAAACTATTCATAGATATTTACGATATGTTCCTTATGGTAACTGGGTTCATGAATTATGGTCAACAAACAGTCCGAGCTGCAAGGTACATTGGTCAAAGTTTCATGATTATCTTATCTCACGCAAATCGTTTACCTGTAACTATTCAATATCCTTATGAAAAATTAATCACATCAGAACGTTTCCGCGGTCGAATCCATTTTGAATTTGATAAATGCATTGCTTGTGAAGTATGTGTTCGTGTATGTCCTATAGATTTACCCGTTGTTGATTGGAAAATGGAAACGGATATTAGAAAGAAACGATTGCTAAATTACAGTATTGATTTCGGAATCTGTATTTTTTGTGGTAACTGTATTGAGTATTGTCCAACAAATTGTTTATCAATGACTGAAGAATATGAACTTTCAACTTATGATCGTCATGAATTGAATTATAATCAAATTGCTTTGGGCCGTTTACCAATGTCAATAATTGATGATTATACAATTCGAACAATTCAAATCAAATAAAAAAAGACAATTTTTTATAATTTAATAAAATACAATTCTAAAAAAAAAAAGAATATTCTATATATATATAGATTTCTATATATATATAGAATATATATAGAATATATAGAATAATCGAAATAAAATATTTTCAAAAATTGTATAAAAAATGAATCATATAATCGATATTGGATTAGAAATATTCTCTAATTATTAGAGAAATATATTCTTAAATAGAATAGAGAAATATATTATCGAAATTTGAAATATTCTTTAATTTAAAGACTAGTTCAAATGGTTATATATGTTCTATCTACCTTTATACTTTAGTTTTAATATCGTTTCAAACTACTCTTTCGTATAAAGAGTAGTTTAAGTGGAATGACATTGATTATATAACCGTAACTATATCAATTTAAACTACTTAGGTTTTTTCAATGCAAAGAAAAATTTAAGTATATAACAATTTTTTCCTGGTCATATCAATAAGGTCATGAAATTTCGATTTCTTTGTCTTTTTTTTTTTTACATATAATGGATTTGCCTGAAACGCTGCACGATTTTCTTTTAGTCTTTCTGGGATCGGGTCTTATATTAGGAAGTTTAGGAGTAGTATTACTTACCAACCCCATTTTTTCTGCTTTTTCGTTGGGACTGGTTCTTGTTTGTATCTCTTTCTTATATATTTTAGCAAACTCGCATTTTGTAGCTGCATCACAGCTACTTATTTACGTGGGAGCTATTAACATTTTAATCATATTTGCTGTGATGTTCATGAATAGTTCCGAATATTACCAAGATTTTCATCTTTGGACCATAGGGGATGGAATTACTTTGATAGTTTGTACAAGTATTTTTGTTTCACTAATAACTATTATTTCAGATACATCATGGTACGGAATTATTTGGACTACAAGACCAAATCAGATTATTGAACAAGATTTGATAAGTACTAGTCAACAAATTGGAATTCATTTATCAACAGATTTTTTTCTTCCATTTGAACTAATTTCAATAATTCTTTTAGTTTCTTTGATAGGTGCAATTGTCGTAGCTCGCCAGTAAGAAATCTTTAGAGAACTACTAATATAAATCAAGACTATATATATATATGTATTTTTTTTTTTTCAATGTGAAGTGAAAGAGTTTTTAGGTAGAAATTCTTTTTTTTTATTGCCAATATATTCTTTTGTTGCAGACTTGTTATATTCTTTAGTCAATTGAATCTGTTGAATTGTTGTTCATATTGAAATGAATCAAAATTGATAAGGAGTTGGTCAATGATGCTCGAACATGTACTTGTTTTGAGTGCCTATTTATTTTCTATTGGTATCTATGGATTGATCACGAGCCGAAATATGGTTAGAGCCCTTATGTGTCTTGAACTTATATTGAATGCAGTGAATATAAATCTAGTCACTTTTTCTGATTTTTTTGATAATCGCCAATTAAAAGGAAATATTTTTTCAATTTTTGTTATAGCTATTGCAGCCGCTGAAGCGGCTATCGGACTGGCTATTGTTTCCTCAATTGCTCGTAACAGAAAATCAACCCGTATCAATCAATCGAATTTGTTGAATAAATAGCATGAATCATATCATAATTAATAAAAAAGAAACAAAGTAGAATTTCAAATAGTGTAATATTAATCAATTCATTTTAGTATTTATTCGACACAACTTATGATCATATCATGTTTGCATTCCCTAAATCATAAGAAATCAAAGTATCCTGGTCCTCTTCTATTTCCTCTTCTAAATT